TTTTTTTTTTCTTTCTTTTTTTCCTCCTTTTTCATTTTTTATTGCTTTAATTATTATTATTATTATTATGCTTTATTGCAAAATCCCTCATACATCCAATTCCTCTATAAATTTCACAAAACCGGATCACCACAAGACTTCTTCCATTTGAACTTGAAACTTGCCTCAAATCTCTCTCTCTTTCTCTCTCTCCCATTTTTTGTATTTTCTTTACTTTTCTGATATCCTTTTTCTTAATAGCTCTTTGTGGTGGGGCCTTATCCTTTGGTGGGGGTGGGGTGTGTGTATGTTTTTCACTTTTGTTTAATTCTTTTATTTTATTTTCCAATCACTTATGCTAAAATTTTTCACATCATTCTATAAAATAAAAAAATCCATTCTTTGGCTTTATCTCTGTTATCCCTTTTCCTCTATTTGGGTTCCTTTATCAATTTCTCGTTAATTTCTTGTTTTTTGTGTAGGTGGTGGAAGAAAAAAAAACATACAAATCTTGTTGGTGTGCCATTGGGGAATTTTCTATTGACCAACAAGAAAAAAAATTGTGGGATTTTATTATTTTGATGTCTTTGGCTGTTGGGGTCGTTTCAACTTCGAAAAACATGGGTTTTGATGAGAAGAAGGGAAATGGAGAAGAGGGCAACCCGGATTCGAAAATCGGGTCGGGTGACCCGGACCCTGAGATTGTACCCGGGACCGGAGGCCGGGTCAGCAGGCAAATAAGTGAGAGTTCTATTTACACAACTGATCATGATGAAGATGATGAGGATATTGAATCAAAGATACAATTGGGCCCTCAATGTACCCTCAAAGAGTTGTCTGAAAAGGACAAGGTTTGTGTTTTATTTATTTATGTGAATAAAAAGCACTCATTTCCCTTTTTCTTTTTCTTCATATTTTGTTGTTGTGTTGTTTTGTTTTGATAATTTGTAGGATGATGAGAGTTTGAGGAGGTGGAAAGAACAGCTTCTGGGGAGCGTGGACATCAATGCTGTTGGAGGTATTTTGTTTTGAATTTATCTTCTTNGGCAATGATTTTTAGGCACAATCCAAGAATGCTCTGAACTATAACCTGTTTTTGTTCTTCCCGAGCTCGAAATTTCATGGAAGGGAAAACAAAATATGAGTGATTTAAACTGATTTATTAAAATCATGGCCTTTCTTTCTTTCTTTCTCTTAGACTTAAGTGCATATATTTATATATAAATTTGTTTTGATTTTGTTCTGTTTTCAGAAGAGTCACTTAATCGTATTATGGCTCCACAAAAATCATATACTTATTTATGTTTGGAAGTGTCTCAAATATACGATAATATTTTTCCCTTATTGTGAATGAATTTGTGCTTGATCAGTATAAATGATGATCGAGCAAACTCAAATCAATCGGCACTAGCAAAACTCTATTATTATTGTTGGCCGATTAGGCAAATTCTAGTTTATATCTAGAGAATATTGATATGAAGCTATTTATTCTTATCGACTTTTTTTACTTTCGTAGAAACACTTGATCCAGATGTGAAATTCTTGAGCCTTGCAATAAAATCTCCCGGGAGAAATGAGATATTATTGTTAGTCCCAGAGGTTGGAAATCCTAAAAGCCCGTGGTTTACTTTGAAAGAGGGAAGCAAATATAGCCTCGAGTTTACTTTCCAGGTCAATAACAACATTGTATCGGGCCTCAAGTACAAGAACAATGTCTGGAAAACCGGCATTAAAGGTTCATAATAATAATACCTGATTTTC